CTGCTAAAGCCTCCGTGGGGTCCTTGTAAGAGCAGCATCTGAGGGGCTGGAGAGAGATGGCTCAGAGGTCGCGAGCACTGACTGCTCTTCCAGAGGTCCTGAGTTCAATTCCCAGCAACCACATGGTGGCTCACAACCATCTGTAATGGGATCTGGTGCCCTCTTCTGGTCTGTAGGCATACATGCAGGAGGAACGCAGTATTCATAATTAAAAAAAAAAAAAAAAAGAGGAGCATCTGAGCAGGGTTGAGTGGAGGGTGGTGGTAGTGCTATAGGTGTCCCTTGTGACATAGGCCAGCATGTGTCCCAGGATGGACTTGACTTTGTTGGTTTCAGTCAAGGACCCACCTGTAAGCTGGGCTCTGAGGGGGTGTTGATTCAGACTGTGCAGGCCTATTCTGGGTGACTGATGGTGTAATACTGACATCTAGCGGTAGTTTCTAGACAATGTTAGCAACTCATGTAAGCAACTTAAAAATCACTTACACAACATGAGCTTTAGGTGTTCTAATATCTCCAGCTATAATGCCCTTGATACTGTAAGAGTTTACTGTGTTCAAGCAGTACAGTAATGCTACCATTCTAACATAGTGGGTTTTTTCTTTTAAAAAATATTATTTTATGTGTATGGTGCCTTGCTACGTGTATGTCTGTGTACAACATGTATGGACACCAGATTTTTGATTAAAAACAAACAAACAAACAAACAAACCCACCCAGAAATATACACTGGAGAAAAAGAGAGCAACTTCAACAACTAGTGCCTGACTAGCTGGATGTGGGCACACAGAATGCAGACAGATGCATATCTATCTCCCTGCAGAAAAGTCCAAGCGGGTCAAAGACCTCAACATCGAACCAGATTCACCGAGCCTGACGGATGAGAAGTGGGGAAAAGCCTGGAACGCTGGAGACACAGGAGACAACTTTCTGAACAGAACATCAGTAGTGCAGGCACTAAGATCAACAACTGGTAAATGGGACCTTGTGACACTGAAAAGCTTCTTTAAGGCAAAGGGCACTGACAATAGGACAGAGACAGCCTATGGCATGGGAAGATTTTTACCTACCCCACATTGACAGAGATCTATATCCAAAATATATAAAGAAGTCAAGAAACTAGATGTTAAAACAAAACAAACAATCCATTAAAAAATAGAATACAGATCTAAACAGAGAATTCTCAATAGAGGAATCTCAAATGGCTGAGAAGCACTTAAAGCCATGTTCAACATCATTAGCCATCAGGGAAATGCAAATCAAAACAACGCTGAGATCTCCATTCCATCAGAATGGCTAAGATCAAAAGTAGAAGTGACAGCTCATGCTGGCGAGGATGTGAATTAGGTGGAACACTCCTCCATTGTTGGTGGGCGTGCAAACTTTCCACTATGGACATCAGTATGGTAATTCCTTAGAAAGCTGGGAACTGATCTACCTCAAGACCTAGCTATAGCAACCATTCTTGAGCAAATACCCCAAGGATGCTCTATCCTCCCACAAGGACACCTGTTCAACTATGTTCAACTGAGACTTTATTCACAATTGAAAGAAACTGGTAACCACCTAGGTATTTCTTAACTTGAAAGAAAATGTGGTACACTTACAGAATGGAGTATGACTCAGTAGTTAAAAGAATGACATCATGAAATTTGCAGGCAAATGGATCTAACTACAAAAAAGAATCATCCTGGCTGAGGTAACCCAGACCCAGAAAGACAAACATGGTATATATTCACTTATAAGTTAATTAACTGTCAAGTAAACAAGCAAGCTGTGATTCACAGACAGAGAGGTAAAAAGAAAAGCTACAAGGGAAACATAGATCTCCTTGGGAAAGGGAAATAGAATGGATTCTGTGAGTGAATATTGGGCAGAAGGGGATAGGAGCGGGGCAGGTTAGGGATGGAAGGAGAATGCAGGGAGAGAAGCTGAAACTGGGGGACATTTGGGGGATGCTGTGGAAACTTGGTGCTATCTATGAGGGTGAAACTAGTAAGATCCTAGTAATGGAGAATACTAGTCTGAACTGGCCATCTTTTGTAGGCAGGCAAGGCTTTTAGTGGTGGGTTACATTTGGTTAAGTAGTTGCTGAGGAGGTCTGGTGGAGATCTCTAAACAATCCAGGCTGATGTTAGGACAGAAGGCCTCCCTCTGAGAACTGTCAGCGGGGTTCCCTTGCTGAGGACAACTTCCACACAGTTCACTGAATGTAGAGAGATAGAGCTGGTGTGGTCTTGGCGCCTTCACCTCTACACTCTAGTCTCTTTCATACAAGAACGTACTCTTCAGGCTACTGAAAGAGAATCCCAGATGCCAGCCCAGCCATAAAATCCTCCACCTACAATCTGTTCTGCCTCTAAGGTGTTCTGGGGCAGGGGTGGTGTAGAACTTGTGGGAGTGGACAATGTTTAATTTAAGCTGAGGCCCACCACTGAGAGTGAGCCCTTGTCCTACACTGCTTGGATGGCCAGAAATCAGAGACTGGGTAACCCAGAGACTCAGGGGTAAGAACCAAATACGACTGGCCTTAAAAAACAAGATCAATGAAATGATTCCTAATGACATGGTGCTATACGCATAGAACAGTGCCTTGTCAGTTGTTATCAGAAAGGCTTCCTTTGGCAGCAGATGGGAGTGATTACAGAGACCCACAGCCAGACCTGAGGAGAAGAGTCTAAAGGTGAGGTCTCCCCTTAGAGATTGGAAAACCCTGTAGAAGATGGTGAGGAAGAGGATGAGGAAAGACGGTAGGAATCCGAAGGGATGGAGGACACCAGGAGAACAAGGCCCCCTCAATCAACTAAGCAGCACTCACGTGGGCTCCAGAGACTGAAACAGCAAGCAGGAAGTCTGCATGGGTGCTTAATATATATGCAGGCCTTCTACATAGGTTAGAGATCTTAGCTTGGTGTTTCTGTGGGACTCCTCACAGGGGGAGTGAGGCTGTCTCTGACTCCTTTGCCTGCTCTGGAGACTTTTCCTCCCACTGGGCTGTCTTGTCCAGCCTTGACAGGAGGGTTTTTGTCTCATCTCAGTGTATCTTATTTTGTACTGTTTGTTGCCTTTTGGAGGCCTGCTCTTTTCTGAAGAAGAAACAGAGAGGGAGTAGTGATCTGGGGGATCCACTAGGAGGAATGGAAGGAGGAGATACTGTGGTTGGAGTGTATTATATAGGAGAAGAAAAAAAATTGAAAAAATGAGAAAAATGAAGTTCAGGAAAATTAAGGATCTTGTTTGAGTAGGGTGTTAGCCCTCAAAGTCAGGCGCACCTGGCTGCAATGTTCAAGACTCTGTCTAAGACAATGAAGATGCTAGACAAGACTGACAAAACCTGATTCAGCCAGTCAAGTACACACAGTGGGAAGTGTACATATGACTTTGTTTCCTGCCATTTGAATACACCACTGAGCACACAACTCAACAGCAGCCGTCAAATAAGTGTTAGTGACACAAGCTGGCTACTCAGTCTGAGATGAACAGGTGCTTCCTGGGACAAGCTTATCTTATGGGTGAGCCAGACAATAAAAGGCAAGTGTAATGTAGTGTTTTCAGTGCTCTGGGTAGAGAGGCACAGCGTAGTCGGATGGCAGACTAGCAGGGCTTTTTTATTAGCTTCAGGGCAATCAGAGATTTCTGAAGGGACAAATGATAATGGAAATCAATTGCTTCTACACTACTCCTGGCTGAAATTATCTCCCACCTTTCCCCTCTGAAGTATTAAGTAAGTATTTAGTTTAATTTAAATCATGGGAAAAGGAAGGAAAGCAAATTTACTTAGAGATTTATGAAGAGTATTGATAAACACGTCAAGTCTGGCTATACCCAAAAGGCAAATGCCTGTCAATTACAATATTACTGAAAGTCAGACTGGAAAACAGGGGGCCACATCTTACATACAATCACACACTGCATACTGATGCTTCAACCCATAATGGGCTGCAAGGTTAAAACAGAGCAGAAAAACACCCACGTTCCAGTGGGTACTTCTCTGTCAGAGCATGGCCCTTTCTGGGTTTGTATGCCAATACAAAGATTGTGGCTAGAGAGGCTTGGTGGTTAAAATAATTTATTCTTTCAGAGGACCAAGACTTGATTCTCAGCACCCACACGGTGCTTACAATCATCTGTAACTCCAGTTCTATGGATCCAACTTCTTCTTACCTCTGCAGGTATGAGACACATGTGGAACATAGACATACAGACAGGCAAAACGTCCCTGAACATAAAAAATAAAAATATCTAACACAAAGAAACCACTAGTTACACAGCATACAACATATACAATTACGTGCAATGCACGCAGTACTCAGTAACCTATTAAATGACTGTCTCGTTAACTTACTATACTGTACTTTTCTTCCTCGTTGTGGAGATCTACCTTCTACTTATAAAAACCAACTGTAAAACAGTATGCTGTATTATGGTGGCATCAGGCCCACACAGCTGTTTGTTATGTCTCTTGGTTATATCAAGAGGTCAGTGTCTAATTAAGCAATAATGTCCAGGATTTTAAAATTTATTATTTTAAAAATTATGCATATATGTTTGTGCATGTGTGACTGGGTGGGGGTGGGGGACGTTGAGCATGTGGAGTCCAGTGCTCTCAGAGGGCTAAAGAGGGAACTGGATCCCCTGGAGTTGGAATTATGGGCAGTTGTGAGCCACCTTACATGGGTGCTGGAAACTAAGCTTGGTATTCTGCAAGGGCAGTGACCACTCTTAGTCTCTGATCCGCCTCTCTAGGGCATGCATTCGGGGTTTGTATGTAAGCTCTAAGGCTGTCATATCATAGCTAAATCATAGAGCCTCAGTCCTAAGTGACATGTAGCCGCACGTATTTATGTCATAAATATTTGCTGAACCTCTGTAATTGTCAGGTAGTTTGTCAACAGCTTAACTACAACATTGAGTAACAAAAGCAGAGCGTTTAGCAGAGGAGATAGACAAAAATAAAAATGTTCACATTGTATGTAATAAGGAAGATTTCAAATTCTTACCAGTTATTAAATCTGAAGGTATTCTACCTGTCAAGAAATCAACCACGAGTATTCGACTTGTTGCAAATATAATGCCACCCTGCGTGTAGACTTCATAGCGACTGGTACTTGCGATTTCATTTGTCACTCGTCGAGGGAGGTGTTCAATTCCTTCAATCTTCAACTGATTGATAAAATATTCCTAAATCAAATTAAACTCATTAGTAAGCTGCTTAGTACAGGGCAGGGCACTTTTAAAATAGATTACAGAGATTTAAAATGATGTCTCCATTCTCAGAACTCTTGAACATCACAGAGAATATGTAAACCAAGTTATTCTTTTATACCAGCCAATCAGGTCACTTTAATTAAGGTTTTGTTTTATAAGGTTAAGCTGTGCTTTGGAGTTTACATTAAGAAATAATTGTGCTTCATTCATTATTTCCATTACAACACCAAGCCACACAACCTGTTAAAACCTTGGTTAAAAGTTTTCTACTACCTAGAAACTACTTCCGGCCAAATCCAGGCGAGACAGGGATTCCTCTCTGCAGACAACGCTTTAGACTGTTAGGTCAGTATTGATGCTTCCTAGAGAGACCACAGAATGTCCATGGGTCCAATGGCCCATTAATCTGTCAGTCTAATGCCACTTTTCTGGGCATCTTACATCGCACGAGGTCCCATGTCAAGCATTGGAGATTCCTAGGGGACTCCAACAGGGCCTCAGCCTTGAAAGGAGTTGTCGGTGACTCTTCTCAGCTGACATTCTCTTCCTGGCCACTACACCTAGGGGATCATCAGATGTATCATGCCAGGCTATGTCCACATCTCAACATCCCCAGCAAGACACGTCTCATTCCATTGTCCTTGGGATCGCCTGTTCTCCTTGACTCTGATTAAAGGCTCCCTTAGCTTTAACTTCCTGTCTTCTCCCCCTCACCTCCCACTACCTTATTTCCCTAGTCCCTCTTCTTTTGTAAAGCCTCAAGATCTCCTTTTTCACTTTCTAATCACTCTCAGAGACCCTGACATCCGCAACATTGATCTTTTAGGGACCACACTCTGTTCCCCAAATACTCTTAATGTCCAACTTCAAACTCAGACACTATTCCTACCCAGATTCTGATACCTTCTTTCCTTTGGAATGCAATCCAATCTACTCCTCCTCTACCTCAATGTGTAGCCAGCCTAGTCCCCCCTCTCTTTTTCAGTGTTAGGGAGTGTGTGGGACCCTTATTCTCAGTGCCCTCAAACTGTGTCTGGGCCCTGTATCGCCCTCAAGGACCTCTAGTCAATGCTCTCTCATGTCAACTGAGGAACCCACGAATTCCTCGGGATGCGTTCCACACTTGGCAGCGTCATCTCGCAGTGTCAGAGGCCTGGATCGCCTTCAAGGACCCTCACTCAATGTTCTCCCATGTCGTGGCAGCCACTGGGACTTCCCTGGGTTCCCTTCCCTCCTTTGCAGCGACTTGGAACTGTGTAGGTGCCTTGCATCTCCCCCTGGGATCTTAATTCATTCCCTTTTGTGCCCTGTTTGAGACTTGCATGGGTTAGGGGTCCCTGCAACCGTTCCTGCCGCGCGGATCTCCGCTCGGATGTCTCCCAAACCCTCGGGTCCACCCGTCCCGCGGTCGCACCTCCTCGGCTGGCTGCGTGTTGAGCACCAGCACCAGGCAGGCCGGGTGGCAGTGAAGCCGCAGGAAATGGTAAAGGAGCCGGTCGGCGCCGAGCCCGCGGGCGCACACCACCAACCCGTCGCTGTCGAGCAGTTCCAGCACCTGCTGCCTCTCGTACTCCAACAGCGGCGCCATACTGTGGCGTCCGCCCGGCAGGCCCCGCTTCATGGGCGCCCTTCCGGGACCGCGGCGGCACGGTGACGGAAAGAGCCGAGTCGAGCCGAACGCTGGCCGAACGCAGGGGAGAGACGCCAAGGCCGAGGGAGCGCAGAACCAGGTAGGCAGCTGAGAGTAGGCCGGATGTAGCCGAAGGGAGCCGAGTTCAAGAGAGCCAACCGATTGTAGCCGAAGAAGAGTCAAGGCGGGGACAAGTGTGGCCCGAAAGTGCCCGAGCCACAGGGCAGGTCTAGCCGAACTCAGCCGAGAGGCGCCGAAAGCTTTAGCGCACGAAGAGGCATCTAGATTCAGACGGCAACTGGGGGGCGTCGGGGTTCCCCATCCTTTGGTTCTCTAGGCTTAGACATAAACTAACAAAATGCAAAAGAGGAGTCTAATCCGGGTAATCCTCCAATACCGACAGTTCAGAATGTTAGCTGTCAGTATTCCAAGTGCACCCAGAATCGACACCGTTTTCCTAGAGTCCAGGTTTAGTCTTTACTTTTGTCCCTGCCCCGCCTTGAAAATTTTGAATAAGCATAATATCTTATGAGTTTCAGTTTCTTGTTTGCAAAGGTCTTGACTATAGTAAGCTGTTTTACAAAGCCGCAGTCAGGTACCAGTTGCAGCTGCGTTCTACCTGCCACTAGAGGGACATCTTGGGTCGCGTTTGTAACTACCTAAAAAACCCCAGGTAAGCAATCTAGGACACATTCTCTGTCAGAGTCCCCCATTCCCCTTTATTTTCAGCCCATAAGAAATACAAATGAAAGCAAAATATGATTGTTCCATTACTTAGGAATAACCACGGTTAACAATGGGAAATCCATACTTTTTAGTGCCCCCTACCCCTTGCCGCTGTTCAATTTTTGCACACGCTTTATCTATATGAAATAATAAACGACCAAGATTCGAAACCCGAGTTTTGATTCATCCAGGTGGGACAGGCTATCCCACATGCTGAGGTAAATTAAAGGGTAGCCTGAGCTACCCATGGGGATCCCCCAGCACAAGTATAAAGAGTGCTGGGATATAACCTAGTAGAAGATCCGGAGTCTGTCACTAATTTCCCCCAAACCTCTGATGTAATAATCTTTTAAAGTCGTTTATATGGCTGGGTTTTCTGTAATGAGGAGGCATATGCTTGTCTAGTTACTTACTTGAGAACATTTAATTCCTCCCACTCCTCCCCAGCAACGTTGTACATAGCATTTCACTAGCTGTGTTTATTTACAAGTTCACCCAAACCCCAAGATACATTTCTGGAAGTGGATGATTAGTGGGAGAAAAAGGACACATTTATTTGAGTTTGTACAACCTTCATTACGTTGTCTTCTAGTCTGCTAATCTCCCTTCACTTCAGCCGCCTGTAAGTGGATCTGCTTTCTCTCCCTCCTCTGCTTCCTCCAGCATTTTCCTCACGTTTAGTCATAATGAAAACAGCATATAATGATTCCTGAGTCTTCTGAAGTGGACAGAGATACCTGCAGAAGCTTTCCATGCTCTTGGGAGCCAGGAGACAATGCCTGTAATTCAGCAAGCAGGCTATGTAATCAGACAAGGCCACAGAGCTGGCTGGTATGTTTCTTAGAGTTAGTTCAGGGTACAGTAAATAGTCATTCAGCACACATTCAGAGGTGGGTGCATGGTTGACAGTGCTGATCTTTACACCCCATCCCTCCCAGGCTGTGGCAGGCAGAATAATGCAACTCAAAGATGCCCACACTGAATTCCTAGAACCTACTATTTTTCATGGCAAAGGAGACTTCATAGATGTGATTAAACTCTTGAGATGGAGAAATGATATTGAATTATCCAGGTGTGCCCAATATAATCATAAAGGTGTGCTTAGGGACAAAGGGGAGGCAGGGGACTTAGCTTCAAAGGGGACTGTGAAAGGGAAACTGAGGTCAGACTGAGGTAGAAAGGGCCAGGAACACAACCTCAAGGAGCCAAGGAACACCTGGATTCTCCCTTGGAAAGTCACGAAGTATCCCAGCCACCGCCAACAACCCATTGTGCATTTCTGGTGCCTAGATCTGGAAGACATTGCATTTGTGTTATTTTAAACCCCTGGGTTTGTGGTGCTTTGTCTCAGCAATAGTGGGAAAGGGATGCACAGTCTTTTCTTATTTTGACTACACTGAACTTTGAAGATGAAGTTCTTGGCCTATCAAAACAAACAAACAAGCAAACTATAGCTAGGACCATGCCAGGGAGCACTTATTTTAGAAGGTCAAGGTTTATTGAAAGGTCAAGCATACACAGAGTGACAGGTATAGCTCAGTGAAGAAAGTGCTTACTGTGGAAGTGAAGGCGCCTGTGTGTGACACCTAGAATCCAGGTGAGAGGTTGCAGGGAGACTGGAGCTCTGCTGGGAGGCAGTGACAGTCCCTGGGGCTTGCTGTCCAGGCCAGTGAGAGAGCCTGTCTCTAACACAAGGTGGTTGTCATGACCGCTCAGCTGGTAGAGACATTTGTCGTCTAAGCCTGCTGACCTGAGCGTGAGCTTGGGAGTTACCATGCTGGAGGAGAGAACTGACTCCTGAAAGTTGTTCTCGGACTTCCACATGTGTGCTATAGCTCACACCTTTTGTAAATAAATGCATGTAATTAGAAAAAATAACCAATGTGGACAGTGACTGAGAATTGACACTCAAAGTTGACCTCTGGTTTCCAGATGTATGTGCACACAGTACATATACATGAACATATGGGTGAGTTCATACATGCACACACAATAGCCATAGAGAAGTATAACTATGCATGAAATATTCTCTCTTCCAGTGAATGTCAATTGAGCATACAATGTGTCAGGTTCTGTACCAAGTGCTAGGGTCTTATCAGGGAGCAAAGCAGGCAAAACCCTTGTCTTATGTCCGTTCTTCTAGGGAGCTAGTGTGTGAAGAAGTCTGTTGATTCTCTTATTATGTGAACTGTGGACATTCCTAATTGTCCAATCACAAGAGAGTGCTTGAAAAACTTTCATGCAGCTGTAGTAAGCAGGCTATCAGAGAGCTATGAAAACCTGGTGTGGGAGAGACCAGTGTCTAATATATACCATATATATATATATATATATATATATATATATATATATATATATTGAAGAAAGAGAAAGTTGTAAAGCAAGAGTGGACAGCATGGCCCTGCTTGTCTAAAATATCAGTAGTATTCCACAGGACTGAATGGGAAGGGCTGGAAAGAAATGAAATCTTTGGGAATTAAGGCAGGAGGTCAGCATCACCTGTGAACTTTACATTTTCTGTTTATTCCCCTCTATTCTGTCTGACTTTGCTCCCTTGTACTTACACTGCCTTTATAGTAAAAATGAAAAAAGAAACTCCCCAGCTACTGTGTAAGCACTTCATTGGTACCAAAACCTGTTGACCTAGGAAGTCTAGAATTAGTATGCACGTGGTGAGTGACAGCTAGTGTGTCAGGTTGGCACCTGACAGAGGACCTTTGCACACTTTGACCAATCGGATCTGCAGTTCATCTTTGTCCCTCCATAAAAGTTTTCAACTTAAGTTTCTTTCCCTCTGATAGCCTCACAGTTCCCCAAGCCTTTGTTTCTTAGTCGCTTCCCCCTCCTCCCTCTCCTCCTCCTCTGTTCCCCTCTCCCATCCCTTACCCTTTCTTTCTCTCATCCTTCTTCCTTTTTCCTCCCTCTTCCCTTTCCTCTCCAGTCCCTCTACTTCTCCTTTGCCCTTCCTTTTCTGCAGCCTTGCCTCTCCCTCTCTTCCTTCTGATGAACAGATTCACCTTTATTTTGCCTTTGAGGACACAGGCAGGTCCTCAGTGGCCTGTCACATAAGGCCACCAATGAGATTAAGCATCATTTTTTTTTCTTGTGTACACCAGTCTCATCACAACTGCCAGAGGCCACTGACATCTCTCTCAGCATGTAGTCCTTTACACTATAGGCAGCCATCCTTTGGTATCCCTGAGGGATTGGCTTCTGCCTCCCTCCCCTGACACTGCCTTAAATATGCAAATGCTCAAGTCTGCTATGCTGGGGACAGATCACATGCTTGCCAAGCATGTGCAAAGCCCTGGGGTTTATTTCCTGCCACAGTGCAAAATTGTGAACTGGAAATGGTATAGTCTTCACATAGAACCCACAGAGTCTTACACAGTTTTGAACTATCTATCACTGGAGACTTGTGATGTCTAACACAATGCACAGGCTATATAAACATTTGCTGTGGCACATTGTTTGGGAGGAATATTTTGACAAGAGAAAGTTTATTTATGTTCAGGATAGTTGCAATTCTTTCCAGTATATCCTGCCTGTGATGGGTTGGATGCATGGATGTGCAGCTTACAGATACAGAGAGGTGTCACACCAAAAGCTCATTAAATCGAGACCCTAAACCCAATGCTGAGGGTTCAGGCATGATCACTCCAGGAGAAGATGCTAACCAAATATTTTAATTTTGTTTCTGTTGCTATGATAAAACATCCTATCGAAAAGCAACCTAGGGAAAAAAGAGTTTATTATAGGCACAGTTTCAGGCTGCAGCCCACCACTGTGGGGAAGCTAAGCCAGGAACTCAGTTACATCACAGAGTAGGAGCAGAGAGTAGCTAATGCATGCCTGCTTATTTGTCTGCTTGCTTGTTATACCCAGCTTAATTTCTTGACTCACAGAACCCTGACTAGGGAATGGTGTCACCCACAGTGAGCTTGTTTTTTCCACATCAATGAACTTAATTAAGACCAACCTCCCATGTAAATCCACAGGCCAGCCCAGTGTAGATAATCCTTCTCGGAGACTCTCGTCCCCGGTGAATCTAGATTTAGGATGTTCATACGTTGGTGTTTGTGCCAAGTTGACAATTAACATTAAACATAACACACAGTAATATGAATATGAATAATCGGGTGCAATAAGGTACTCGAGCATCCAGAGTGCGTGCTAAGGGCTCTTCTGGTCTGGTTGTCTACTGTGGTTGGTCTGAGAAGGGAGTATTTGAGCACAGCTCTGAGGCCTGGCTAAATAGGGAAGGA